GTCATTAGCACCTCTAGTAATATATTTACTGAGAAAAATGGTGACGTGTTCAATACTTATTTTACCCGCTGTATTTTCTGAAGTGGTAAATGTTTAGAAGAGTTTGATAATCACAACAACATAAATGTTTACATTTACTTTTCTCTAGCCTTCTACTTACTGAGGACATCAGCAGGTAAAAAGTTAAAAAATATAAATATTMTGTTGATTCAATCTTTCTTTTTAATCCATAGTTACATGGAAATAATAGGTGGATGTAACTCAAATGTTGTGTAAATAAGAAATATTACGTGATGACATCAAAATTGGCACATGGCATCATTAGGCCCCGCCCCTAATGAAGGTGTCCCTTATTTTGGAGGCGCTGAGTTGGCAACCCTAAATCTTTGTCTAAACAGTTGAACAAGTAAAACAAAAATTGGCAGAAGCTAACACTAAGAGCTAATCGCTAACCACAAACACAACTGCCACTCAATCTGCGTCACGTCTTCAGAAGCTAACACTAAACAGTAAATGTATTGTTTCACAATAAAACTATTTTGTTCCTTCAAAGTGAAAGTTTGAAGGAAAAGGAGAATGTTAAGGGAGGTGAATACTTCCGTAACCCAAGAGCCCAGCTCTGCTGTGAAAAACCAGTGAGCTGCAGATTACAGCGCTCCTCTCTTCTTCTTCTTCTTCTTCTCACATTCAGAGCCACTTCATGAAAACTGAGAGGCTGATTAGCATTAAAAGCCTCCGGCTGGTTTAATCTGTGCCAGATCGACCACACTCGTAACAACACTTACGCCATGAGGATGACCCAGAAATCCAGCCAGTTCCACGGGTCCCGCAGGAAGGTGAACTTCCCCACACAGAAGCCCCGGGCCAGGATCTTGATGAGAGACTCGAAGGTGTAAATCCCTGTGAAGGTGTACCTGGTGAACGGGGTGAAGAGGAGGACAGGAAATGAGAAACTCCCCCCCACAGAGAGGATGACTAGTTCTGATTACAACAACAACAAAGCGACAAAGACTCTCTCCACATGATCAAAATGTCCTCGTTGTAATCCAGGCTTCTGATATTACTTCAGCTCAAAAATTCTGCTGACCTCATTTGTTTGGACAAAGTTGTTTATTTTCATCGCAGTTGGAAACCTCTCATTCAAATGAAAGTTTAAAAAAATGGAAACAAATAGAAAAACTGAATGACTTTACTGTAAGCCTTTCGAAATAAAAGGCTAGAGCTTTTGGAAATCACCTTAATCTTGATCTTAGATCCAGATTATTATTTTTTTAAAGAGTAACTTACCCCAAAKTTAACTTTTTTTAGCTGATAAACTGTCTAGAATGTGTCTAAAATGTTAT